AAAAAAAAAAAAAAAAAAAAAAAAAAAAAAAAAAAAAAAAAAAAAAAAAAAAAAAAAAAAAAAAAAAAAAAAAAAAAAAAAAAAAAAAAAAAAAAAAAAAAAAAAAAAAAAAAAAAAAAAAAAAAAAAAAAAAAAAAAAAAAAAAAAAAAAAAAAAAAAAAAAAAAAAAAAAAAAAAAAAAAAAAAAAAAAAAAAAAAAAAAAAAAAAAAAAAAAAAAAAAAAAAAAAAAAAAAAAAAAAAAAAAAAAAAAAAAAAAAAAAAAAAAAAAAAAAAAAAAAAAAAAAAAAAAAAAAAAAAAAAAAAAAAAAAAAAAAAAAAAAAAAAAAAAAAAAAAAAAAAAAAAAAAAAAAAAAAAAAAAAAAAAAAAAAAAAAAAAAAAAAAAAAACACACACACACATACATACCAACATGTGTCAGAAATTCGATCTAGTATATAGAAATATCATTAAATATACCCTACGATTACTCTATAAAAAAGCCGAAATGGAGCCCATCACAAAGCTTCCTCTATGAGGAAGCAAAAAAGTGTGCCTTTAAGTGCAGTACTTTTCGAGATATCTTGCCGCCCGATTCTGAATACATGGTTTCGAGAAAAACGCGTTTAAAGTTTTAGAAACTGAATGTACATACATACATACATCGTTCCCTCGTAAAAAGACAGCTTCGGTTTTTGCCTATAACTATTTAACTAAATCGATTTTGGTAAAAAGGGTTTCGGGGGTGTATTGTACGAGACATTTGCTAACTAAGTAAGCAAAAAAAAAATCGATTTTTTGATCGAGTCTCATGAGAGCCTCCCCTTAAGCATTTTCAATAAATCATTATTAATTTAAGTTTAACTCAGCCAGTGTCTACGAGTGGTCATTTCCGCCCAACCCTACAGCGTGCCTGTGTGTGTGAGTGCATGTGTTTGAAATTAGCTTACGTGGTAATAATTCGAACACCCCGCGAAGCCCAGCATTACAATTTACATAAAAAACAAAGAAGCGACGAAGTGAAATCAACCGAGGAGCCGACGCTTACTGTGGCAAATATAAAAAAACTCTTGAGTTTGATGCAGGAAGCCATTGATGTGGCCCTCGAATATGATTCGATCATGGTGCGTAGCATAAAATTTCAGCATGATTGTGAAGTTGCTGTGACTGCCTACGTTGAATTACACAAAAATATTATGAGACGCGCTAAACAGACACGCGTTATTGATTTTTTCAAGTAACTTTTACATGTACTTTTGAATAAAATGTTTTGGAAATCGAAAATTTGTCACATCTTTGCACGGAATCCCCCATTTCCCATAAGAGCAATGTTTTTTTACGCGATTTTTTGTACGTGGTACTTTTTTGGTACGGAACTACCTCGTAAAAACAGGGACTACTGTACTTAAACGAAAAAATGCAACGATAAAAAGTTTTAAAATCTTTCAAAGAATCTGCTTGAATTTTTTTTTTGAATTTTAGGGACCATCTACCGCTATCTTTAAAATGACCTAAAATTTATAAAAAAAGCGTCAAATTTGGGCCTCTTGAATTAAGTGATAGATGGTCCCCAAAATTCTGAAAAAATTAAAGCAGATTCTTTGAAAAATTTTAAAACTTTTTATCGTTGCATTTTTTTGTTTATGTTCTTCTATATCGATATAGAAAATAACAAAGATTTTTTTATAATGTGGAAAATCCTCTAAAAAATTGGCCCTAAGGCCCATGAGATCCAACTAAACACACGGAGCTTTAGTATTGGGTACCCGGAGACCCTCAAAAAATTTTGGAGCAAATTCATGACCCGGAGGTGGGGTGGTCTACTTGTAAGATGTTAGTATACGCTAATATGGGTTTTATGTGGAAACTGGTAACTAAGTTGATCATTTCCAAATCAACTTTTCACACAAATATGCACAATCTTACATTAGAACTTGAACCCAGTACTCTACCTATTCACTCACATTCATAAAACATTAATAACTGGATCTATAGTTGGAAATAAAATCACTCAAAATTTATCAATTACCACAAATCTTGTTTATCACATACCACATTTTTATATGAGTTTTATTGTCTTACTGCTTTTGTTGTTGGTTACAATTCGAAGGGCCGACCTTGGGTGGTTGGCGTTCATACATGCACTTATACACACACACTCTGCTGGACTGTCCTTGGGTTTCTCACACACACACACACACACACACACTCGGCTGGACTGTCCGTGGGTTTGTCATACTCCACTACACTGGTGGTCAAGATCGCTTGACCGTAACTCCACTCACTTCCGCACTCGAATAACTCTCGTACTTGACCGTTACTCTATTTCGCGACTACGACTGACCGACTGTTTGAACTGATTCGACTGATTGACGGCGATTGACTACCCGAACTGAACTGACCGATGTTTGGCCGCACGAGACCGAAGCCACTCAACATCTGGGCACAACTGCACTACTGACTAAACCGTACTTCCCTGTCTGACTGATTGAACTGACCTCGATCATCACTCTCGCTTCACTTATATACTCGCAGTTACCGGATTTTCCTTATCATCCAAATTCCGCCCAGTTGCAATAACATGTTTGTTACCAAATTACGCGTGGCCCAGCTGACACCATTCGGGTATCATAAGTCGATTTCGTACATCTGTTACTCGCGCATGGCAGAGATTCGTATCAGCGACCGGTCGTGTCATTGGTAGTGACTTGAAGCATACAATACTCGTTTTTGGTTAAGATCTGTTGTTCAATAAAAAAGTTATGGCGTAAAATGTATAAAATTATGATGATCTCCCATAAGAGCTTATGTTAAATTTGCTATTTACAACGGCTTCGTTCTCAAAAATTAGTTCGATAACTCATGTTGAAAATTCTACAGCATATCAAGGGAACTTTAAATGACATTTCTGGAAAGTTTCATAAACATCTGTTGTCGACCCGTTTCACTGATGAGCCACCATAATCTAATTTTCTTCTACGTATAAAGAAGCTATAAAAAAGGACAATTTTCCAAATTTCCAAATCCTTTCAATGCCTCCTCATAACAGGGGAGTGTGGTTATGGAGCTTAACCTACTTTTTGAAAGAATGCGACCCTCCGAGTAAAAAAATATGCCCTGGGGACTGAGCTACGATGATTTGAAAAATATGCAAAATTACATAAAAATGGCCAATTTTAGACCTTTGAGAGGCTCAATTTTGGGCCCTAGGTCCCCTACAGGGTAGAAATTTTAATTAAAATCTATTTTCATATACTCAAATATCATACTAATTTTTGGGATAGATTCGTGAACTCTTCCCACCAGATTCACCAAAAAGTAAAAAAACTGCTAATAAGCATACAAAATTCCGTCTTCAAGTGTAAAGTTTTCTCGGATACATTTTGTCTCGATACTCAAAAATCCGTGTAAAAATATATCTGCTGTTGATGAACTGTATATGTTTTAAGGAGACAGTTTAACACGGTTTTCCCCAGCAACACTCGCGAGCGAAGCGAGAAAAATAGAGAAGAATGCACGCGAGTCACGACGAGATGAGACACGTGATTCGTTTCCATGGTACTGAGCGAAAGTTAATACGCGCGTTACGCATTATCCAAAGTCAAGTGATTGATTTGATTCACATAACTCATGTTTGGGTGTGAACTGGACAATTAGCAAAAGAAATAGGTGCCGAGGTCTCTAGAACAATCTGAGCGAATATCTACGACGATCTTCATCGCCGTCTAATATTGGATTGCGAAAATATCGACAATATTACCGTGATGGCTTTCCTGCAGTACCTCACCATTGTTTATTCGTCTTATCTGTTTCGCACCGGTGTGTCTCGCGGAACATAGCAGAGAATCAATTACCGTGTATCATTCCCATCAAAAGTTTTGGATGTGAAACATATTCATCGGCATTTGCTATTGAAATAGATTCAATTGAAATTTTTAATTATTTTTGATTATTACTTGTTGTACAATGGATTGTGGAGGGGACGAATTTGAGCAAGTCTGCGAGTTTTTGCAGAGTTTCGCCGACATCGTACACGTTTACTCAGACAGAGTAGAAATACGTTTGACAGTCACCAGACTGATGTATGACGAGTCACCCTGAAGAGGGTCGATGTTATTTGTTGCCTCTTGGTTTACAAGTTTTGCAAACTCTACGTTTAGTCCTGAGAAGGACTAGTTTTGATGCAGGCTGTTGATTTGTGCAGAAGGACTGGCTGTGACCAGCGGTGACCAGCTATGACCGATGTTGACCACCTGTGACCGATTTTGACCGTCATGGAGGGGATGGTCGGATGGACAATGACGTCGTTGTCGGCTCGGGCTGCTTGGCTGTCACATGACTCGTGAGAGTGGAGTGACACAAATGCCGATCACTTTTCTGTCCAACTTGTAAAGTTGAGGTGGGGACCCCCACCCGACCGCGAGGTGGGGACGAGTGCAGCAGTGCACGACGTTTGAGTGGGGACGCACACAGGGGTCTCGGCGTTAGTGGGGATAACATACTTCATTAAATAGATCGCAAAACTCGTGACATCTTCGCAGCCTACAAAGTTGGTCAGCTGAGCGGCTCCGGACTTACCTTCCAAATAAAAGATAAGATATACTCGGCTCATCACATCAAGTGCCCCGATACTCGATCCGTTACAAAACCCTGAATGATATATATGAATCCGAAACATTTTCAAGACATTTAAGGCCTTGATACGACTACATTCTCTAAACTATTTCATTCATAGAAGATATCATTTAATTTTTTTTATAACTTTTTTAGTTTTTGATAAAAGAAGTTGAGTAGGACTGTATAAAATGTATACAGAATTTTTTTTTTCATACCATTATTTTTTACTTTGATATGAGTTTTTTTTATTAAAACTAAATGTATTTAAAAGTTGTTCAACGCGGTTCAAAAAAAATTATAAATATCATTGAAATCGTTTATGTTTCTTACTCGATCGAAGCGTCAGGTTGACTTATTATATCTCACATATAAATATTTGCGTCATAATGGAAAAAAAGGTACAAACCTTGCTCTGCATGAAGATGTATAAAAAGCGTTGAATACACAAACTGTACAAAAATAATAATAATTTGGGTTTTCATGATAGACGAATCCCAGATGGTTAAAATAAATTTGCATCAGTTAACTGATTAACTTTTCATTAGAATGCAATAATTTGGCTTTTCTATGATATTCTTGTAAAAAGTAGTTCTGTGAATATTAAACAAAACTGATCGATCATTTTCACAAACAGTGAAAAAGTTTCTTGTAAGGTGTCATGAGTAATGAAGATCCTTCCTAAAAAAATAAAGTCCTGGTTAAAAGATATATCAAGATTATTAACTCAATTTTATAATTTTATAAATCAATTTAGTCTAATATATAACAGCAATTTAATCAAGTCGAGAAGCGCGTCTCGCGCTCCGAATGGCAAGTAAGGCAGACGAGAGCAGCGTTTCTCCACACTCCTCATATACACGAGAATCGCGATTTGGGGACCCTCGAAAACAACCTAACGTTATAATTTGAAATATATAACAGATACGATAATTCTGATTCGGTAAATCGATTCCTTGTAAAAAGTGACACAAAATAGTGTATACAGTCTCCAAAACACGCAGTATTAACTGAATACGAGTGATAAAAGAAAAAATCCCCGACGTATAAACGCTCTCACGCAAAACGCGGTCTCACGCGATCTCACGCAGTCTCGCGGTCAACTTCATATCATCGATTTGATTGATTAATAAGGCTAAATGCAGTATCTACGTAATAATACTAAAAGTATGTGTTTTGAATAATGTACATGTTTATCAAGGTACTCGCAATCATCTTGGGTAGCCCTGTATGTTTTTCCGTTTTGAAAAACAGATCGCCTCCAAATTTTCTGCCGATTCTAAAAAACTAAACCGCACTCTTCAAAACCCAAGAGTTCGTTTTTTATACGGTTTTTTTATGATAAAAAACCACCCCTTGCATTTTTTTAAATTTTTTATGCGGCATCGGAACAAAGATCAAATTCTGAATCGATTCGTTTTTTTTTACGAACCCTTCGTCTTTTATCGTTTTTTGGCATTTTTCAAAATCGATTCTCTTTTCTAAGAAATGGTGCACGCACAAAATACTGAAATTCATTTCTCTTTCATTAATGCGTGCCAATTTTTTTTTAATATTTTAAAATTTTTTATTAAATGTTTTTTTTAATTTAAAAAAAAGTTCTTTTTTTTCAATAAATTTTATATCTTTTGGTTTTTTGTACTTTTTGAGTTGCATCAGTAGCAATGCCTATCAATTATTACAAATCTATAAATCAAAATATTCAGAGTTTATAACGTAGAATAAATGTGTCATAATTATTTTTGATGTGTAACGTCTTATGGCTCGTTGGGTAGGCTAGTGCATCCATGAAAAACGAGCGAGCGAGCGAGCGCGATAATCGTAGGTTTTTAGTCTCAGTAGCGTCTGTTTGCTTCTCGCGCTGTGATTGGTCTACGCTAGGCAGTGTCGAGTGACTGCTAGCTCGCTTCTGCTGCGACACGCACAGCACAGGCGAGCAGTACTCGGCAGTCAGCACTCATGTCTACGAAACGTACAATGTAGCGTTGGGTATCTCTGCGTCTCTGTCTCTCGCTCGCGCGTTGCGTTTTCATGCGTGTGGATCGGTCAAATAATAACTCGAGTTGTTTTATTGTATAGCTTCGTGCACATGTCTACAATCGTAAATCATAAATCAGTGTTCTGGTACACTAATTTTTATAAATTTACGTGAATATAACTACAAATTTGTTAGTGAAAGATGGCAATATGACGAGGCCGCGGAGCGGCCTCGGCAACCCCAACCAAACCTTAAGCTCAAAATTATCAAAACTAAATCAAAAATTTGAATTAAACTTGAATTCGTTTTGAAACGGAACTAATGTAAGTAGAGGCCGTGCAAGCGGCCTCGGCACTCATTCAACGAAATCACAATTAATCGGAAAGTATTGACTACAGAATAAATCGAAAAATCAGTTTTATTAAAAATTGATTAAAATTACATAGAAAACAAAATCAGCTGTATCAGAACAGCCGTAAGATGTGTAACGTCTTTATGAACATTAAAAATAGAATTTAACATTAAACAATTCAAGTAATTCTATCTAAAATTCGAGTAATTAAATCAAAACAAAATTCGAGGAATTCGATTTAAAAAATTCAAGTAAATCAATTTACAATAGAAAAAAAAGAAGCGCTGCAAGATGTGTAACTAGTCACATTTAAAGGTAAAAAATTAAAAAAATAAACAAATAAAATAAACCAAATAAAACGAAAAAGTATTTGACGTTGCACTTCCGGTGTCCAAGCATATTATACAAAAATCACCGGAAGTGCAACGTCAAATACTTTTTCGTTTTATTTGGTTTATTTTATTTGTTTATTTTTTTAATTTTTTACCTTTAAATGTGACTAGTTACACATCTTGCAGCGCTTCTTTTTTTTCTATTGTAAATTGATTTACTTGAATTTTTTAAATCGAATTCCTCGAATTTTGTTTTGATTTAATTGCTCGAATTTTAGATAGAATTACTTGAATTGTTTAATGTTAAATTCTATTTTTAATGTTCATAAAGACGTTACACATCTTACGGCTGTTCTTATACAGCTGATTTTGTTTTCTATGTAATTTTAATCAATTTTTAATTTTATTTTTTCATTAAAATTATTAAAATGATTATTATGAAAAAAATTATTGAAATTAATTTTTATATAATGCTACACATATTCTCTTAATTTTTATAAAATGATCGATCTTTACTAACTTTTTTATCTTGAATTCTAAATTGCTTATCATGTAATTGTAATGAACTTCTCTACAGAAAAATAAGAAAAAGAATTCAAAAGCAATGAAACTTAACAGGGACGTTGAATATGTATCAAAGAGTGTGAAAAGTCATAAAAGAGAGCGAAATAATTTTCACTATTCGATGTTTTTTAGATTTCAGAATTTTTCTCTAAGGGCGAGATTCTCGAAAAAATTCAAATTTATCTCTCAAAGATGTGTCAAATTTTTCGGAGATCTTTCCAAGCAATAAAACTTTACAGAGTCATTGCTTAGGTATCAATGAATGTAAAAAATTGTACTATATCGAAATAACTTTTACTAAACCATCTTCTCTCGATTTTTGAGTTTTTTTCTGAGTGCTAGATTCTAGAAAAAATACAATTTCATGTTTTAAAATTATGTAAAATTTGCCAGAGATCTTTCCAAACAACGCAACTTAATAGGGACGTTAAATAGGTATTAATGAGTGTGAAAACTCGTGTTACAAATATATAACTTTTACTATTCGATGTTTTTTAGACTTTAGAATATTTTTCTCAGGGCGAGATTCTTAAAAAAATACAATTTCAGGTTTCAAAATTTGTCAGAGAGATCTCTTTCCGAGAAATGAAACTTTACTGGAACATTAACTTTTACAAAACCGTCTTTTCTTGATTTTTGAATATTTTTTTTAGTTGCGAGCTCTAAAAACATTCAATTTAATATTTCAAAGTTCAGTCAAATCTTAGACAGATCTTTCCGAAACCAATCAGGGATATTGACTAAGTATCAAGTAGAGTAAAAAGTCGTAAAAGAGCGAATTAACTTTTACTACTCGACGTTTTTTTAAATATTTTTTTTGCGGGTGAGACTCTCGAAAAAATAAAATTTTATGTTTAAAGTTATGTCAAAATTTTCTCACATCTTTCCGAGCAATGAAACTTTACAGGGACATTGATTAGGTGTTAAAGATAATAAAAAATCGTATTACATGGGACTAATTTTTACTAAACCATCTTTTCATGATTTTAGAAATCATTTTCATGTGCGAGATTATCGAATAAATTCGAATTATATCTTTCAAGTTCTGCTATCGAAAAAAGTTCGAATCGAATTATTTCAAGACACGTGCTACATCATAACGACATAGCGAATGTTAATAATAATGGACTACATTATCTAATCATGAAACTAATTTTTAAACGGGTCAGTAAATCAATTGAATTACGAGTGACTCGATCGACAAAAATTATTGAAAATGCACGGTTTCCACAATTTTTCGAAAGGCAGTTTTATGGAAAATTATCATTGTTAGTTGTTGATGTTTTGATGATGTGGGAGTAATTTTATTGATCAGAAACGATTTTGAATAATTTCGATTTTTCGTTCATGTTGAACGTTTGAAACTTGAGACTCATTTGTATTAGACGTAAGTAAAAAAATTTTTTGCACTATATCATAGTTTGTGAAATATAAAAAATTTGTATATTATCATATTATAGATTGTTAAATAGTAAGAAAATGAACGAGATGTATCGTTCCTAACATTATTATTATATCCGCTATCTAATACGATAATTAGTATATGATACAATTGTTTTACAAATATTACATTAAAACATAATAACATATTTAAATTTAAGTAAAGTGAATAAATTTAAGTAGGTCCAAATAAATAAATATTCTGTCATTGAAAAAACAATTTTTCATTTAAAATTCATTACATTATTAAAATTCAAAAAAAAAGGCACCGTAAAACGCATTCTTTTCATTTGCTAATAACGCCACTTGTAATACAGCAATTATATTATTGTTTTGAAAAAACTACAGCTCCTGTACAATTTCTTGCAAAGATTTTAATTTCATATTTCTCTATCTAATAATACCAACAGTGCTTTCCAAAAATTATCGAACAATTCTTGCTCTTCCAAAATGTCTAACACAAACTTCATTCACCCGAGCGAGCGTTAGCGAGTGAGGACAGCGCTAGTGTTATTATTTATATATATACAGAAAATTTTCGTAAAATATATAGTTTGCTTTCGGTACGTGAAATTTTATTGTTCGCAAAAACAAAAAAGTTTTTACATTTAGACTCAAATCAAAAGGATCAGACCGTCATACTTGCCCCTATTTAAACTTTTGAAAAAAGTATTACCACGGCTTTGAATTATTCTATTATAAACATTTCAGTAGGCTAATAGTTTGAAACATAAAATTGTTAGTTTGTTCAATACTTGATGGAATTTATTCGATTTCAATAATATCATAGCCAAGAAATTGATTTTTATAAAAGCTCAAAAGACGCAATTCTCATATGCAATTATGAAAAGCTGTTTGTGATGCCACAAAAGTCTCGTAATTTTATCAAAACTATGGGGAACGCTTATCACTTTTTGTTAAAGGCTCAAGGATATCACTTTTTTGAAATTCATGCCAATTGTCAATATAAAGTTAGCATAAAGTGATTCAAAGAGTCCATTCACTCGGTCACTCT